AGGGTTATTTCCTGGCTCTGGGTGTTCCCACTTTGACAAGAAAACTGGTCCAAGACAAAGGTCCCATGAGGATTCAGTGGATGAATGAGAGGCAGCACAGGTGTGGCCAGGCTGGGGTCCTGGAGAAACCAGAGGAGAGTAAATGTCAGGAAACACCAATGAGGAAATACAGAAAAGGCCAGATGCTGAGTTAAGAAGGAGAACTTCCTTCTGGACTGCTTTGGAGGCAGAGGTGTGGCTCACTTTATTCACTGACTGTGTGAGCCATGGCCTCATTCACATCCTATTTGAGGCAATCCATAGTCCTCCTTTCAGAGTTTTGCATAACCAACATTTATGCAAGATTCATTCTGTATCTGATAGAGATGTACCTGATGAATCTTTCATCCTTTAGGAGCTATTCATCTTTATTTCTTATGGAAGAAAACAGTCCCTGAGTGATGGCAAAACTTACCCAAAGTCATATAGCCACTAAGAAATGTAACTAAGTTAAAAACCAAGTCTTTTGGGGCTTCCCTGGTATCTCAGTGGTGAAGAGTCCACCTGCCAATGCAGGAGACATGGGTTTGATCCCTGATCCAGGAAGAACCCATATGCCACAGGGCAACCAAGCCCATGAGCCACAACTATTGAGCCTGTGCTCTAGAGTCCAGGAGTCACAACTACTGAGCCCACATGTCACAACTACTGAAGTCCATGCACCCTAGAGCCTGTGCTCCACAACAAAAGAAGCCACTGCGACAGGAAGCCTTTGTACTGCAATGAAGAGTAACCCCCACTCACTGCAACTAGAGAAAAGACTACAGAGCAACAAAGACCCAGCACAGCCAAAAATAAATAAACAAAAAAAATTATTTTTTAAAAGTCAAGCCTTTCTGTTCTTAACCACTATGTAGTATGTTGCCTTTGGATCATGATCTCCTGCACCCTGTGTTAACTGAGATACATAGGAAGCCTTGTGCTTGGTGGTGGGTATTAAAAACTGCACTGTGTCTAAGGAGACTCACTCAATAGGAGGACATCTGGAGGTCTCCTGGCTTCCTATCTCTGCTCCAGGAGTCAGACTCAGCCTCAACATTGGTGGTGAAAGGGAACCATTACCCTTGAAACCCATATTGTTTGTCAGTCCTAGGTGGCGCTAGCGGTGAAGAGCATGTGTGCCATTGCAGGAGATGCGGGAGACCCTGGTTCAGTCCCTCCATCTAGAAGATCCCCTGGAGGAGGGCATGGCAACCCATTCCAGTATTCTTGCCTGGAGAATCCCAGGGACAGAGGAGCCTGGCGGGCTACAGTTCACAGGGTCACAAAGAGTTGACACAACTTAGCATGCAAACACACATGCTTAAACATAAAGAAGTATTCATTCCATGCCAAGATTTACTTCCATGTTACTCACAACCACTGATCAGGGCTCTGTTCTCTGAAATCCACCACTGACTCTCTCCCAGGGAGTATTGCAGCAGTCCCTAACTGGCCTCCCTGCTTCTGTTCTTACCTCCCTCAAGTTAAACTCCCACCCAGCAGCAGTGAGCAGGATCAAAGATGTCAGTGTGATCCTACCACTGCCCTGCTCAGAACTCTCCCATGGTCTCACATCACATCCCAAAAGCGCTCAACACAGCTCACACGAGCACAGGTAAACTTGCCCTTGCTTATAAATGTGCCCTTGCTTGTCTCTCTGCACGTCTTCTATCCCTGCCCTTCCTACCCTGCCCGCTCTGGTGTCTTGCTGATTCTACCCCCCACTCCCAACAAAGAGCCCCTCTTCTCAGGGAGCCTCTGCTGTTGCTCTGCAGGAATTGGACTTTCCCAGACCTTATGGGGTCCGCCCTCTTACTTCCATTCATTTGCAAAAAAAAAAAAGCAGCCTCTAAATAATGTCTTCCCTGACTGCCCTGTCTCCAAGAGCCTGCTCACTCATGCTTTGATTTCTAATTCTTCTCTATTATTTTCCTTATAATATGTATGTTGCCATGACCATGGATATTTATCTGTTATGTGCATATGTATATATGTATGTACATAGACATGTATGTGTGTGTGTATTGTCCTCAGCACCAAAATGCCAGCTTCATGGGGCAAAGGAACTTCTCTGTCTTGTTAACTAGATCCTTAATGCCTGAAATAGTGTCTCACCCATTTTGGGGATTAGTAAAAATGTATTAAATACACAAAGGAATGAATGGAATAGTCTATGAATAAGAGGAAGACTGAGAAGAGAGAAAGGGAGAGAGCTGCCTTGTAGGGGCATCTGTTGAGATGAAAGGCAAGATCTCTCAAACAGCTAGAGGATACTAGGAGCTTCACCTTCAGCTGGATGACTGATATACTGAGAGATCCTCAGGTTCACCCTGGCTCCTCAGCCAGGACAGGGTGTAGGGAGGGAGTTCTTGGGTCTGATATGGGTTCCAGCCTTGAACCCAAGAGACTGTACACATCAGTTGGTCCAAGAGCATCCAGTTTATGCCCATTGTCCCAGGGTGATAATTGTTTGGGTTTTTATTATTTTGGGTTTGGGGGTGTTTTGGGGGGGGAGTATTTTTGTTTTGTTCTGGGGAGGTTTGTTTTTGTTTTGCTTGTTGTTTGTTTTGCTTTGACTCTGCTGCATGGCTTGCGGGATCTTAGTTCCCCTAGACCAGGAGTCAAACCCAGGCTCTGGCAGTGAAAGTGCTAACCATTGGACACCAGGGAACTCCCCCTGTGTAATTCTTAATAGAACTCCTTTCACTCTCTTAAGAGTTCTGGCCAACTCACAGCTCTCGGGAAATTACCTACATAGGGGAAGGCAGAGGAAAAAACAGGTCTAGCTTTCTGTAGAAACCATGAGAAATGAAAAGCTCAGGGATTTCTGTGCTGTCACCAGGAAGAAATTGATCTCTGACATCAACGTGGCCACTCAAATGCTGAAAGGCAGAAGATATTAGGATGGGGTGAGGAGGTCAAGGCAATGCTTGCAGGGCCCAGAAATTCATCAATGTGCTTGGAAAAATATTGTCTCCATAATCTTTCTCCAAATCTTAGGACAAGTAAAATCATAACAGAAAGTTTAAAAAAAATCACAAGATGATATGGGTTAGAAATCACCATATTGGGCTTCCTTGGTGGCTCAGTGGATAAGAATCCACCTGCCAGTGCAGGGGACATGGGTTCAATCCCTGGTCCAGGAAGATCCCACAAGCCATGGAACAACTAAGCCCATGTACCACAACTATTGAGCTTGTGCTTTCTAGCTTGGAAGCTGCAACTACTGAAGCTTGTATGCCCTAGAGCCTGTGCTCTGCAACAAGAGAAGTCACTGCAATGAGAAGCCCACGCACTACAACTAGAGAAAAGTCCACACTGCAACCAAGACCCAGTGCAGCCAAGATTAAATAAATGAATAAATTTTTTAAAAAGAAATCCGCGTATTTACAGAGAATGCTGTTTACTGACATGATTATTGGCATGTTATTGGGAACAAATGTTATTTCATAAAGTGTAGAGGAAGAGATAAGTCTTGTTATCACTATGTTCTAGATGAGTGTATGCCTTGCCAGATCATGGCCTGTGAGTTGATGGAAAAAACCCACAGGAGACTCTCAGAAGCCCTTTCTGGGATAGGATAGGGGAGCGTTTTGTTAGCTGTGTGGTAGCATTATGTGTAAAATATGGAGTATGTTATCTACTAATGATGCTTTATTTGTACCACCACCCCAGTAGTGAGGCCAGGGGAAACCTGAGTTTAGGAAGATACCACATTCTACAACTATCCTACTGGGTTCTTCTTAGAAGTGGGAGATTTCATGGGAACCTGCTTTTATCATTTCATGGGAACAAATGGTAAAACTCCTTATGAACGTAAGGAATCAGTATTATGATCATGATATCCCATTAAAGTCATTCCATTCATAGCAGCAACTGAGAAGAGCAAATTTTTTATTTCATAAATTTGACTTTCCATGAGATCCAGTGATAACGCTTTAGGTGTAAGCTTCATAAACAATACTAGTTCTTCATTCAGACCAGCAGAGAACATAACTTCACTGAGACACAAGCCATGCCCACAAGGGGTTCCAGCTTTCTTCTTAGTCTTTTCTTCTATGGAACTTGTCTGTCTGCTTTTCCCCACCAGGATCCAAAAGATCTTGATACATTGCCACAGTGCAACATATCTGAAAATCCAGAGATCTGGACTCCAAATGAAAGAATCATCACCTTCATTTGTTATTTGAAGCATCATTATCAGGTATGTTAAGTAGAGTTTTCTTTAGTATTTTTGTCAAGGTGTCATAATTTAACTACATAGCCATAGCAAAGACCCTCAATTTCCCTGCACTTTTGTCCATGTGGTTCCTGGCAGAGGGCACACAACTTGGCCCAGTGTTGTGTGTATGTTGTCACTGAATGCATGTGTTGAGGTCAGTAAGATACTCTTGGGTGAAACGCTTAACCAAGATTCTTCCTTCCTTTAAGACTGCTGCTGCTGCTGCTGCTGCTAAGTCGCTTCAGTCGTGTCCGACTATGTGCGACCCCATGGATGGCAGCCCACCAGGCTCCCCTGTCCCTGGGATTCTCCAGGCAAGAACACTGGAGTGGGTTACCATTTCCTTCTCCAATGCATGAAAGTGAAAAGTGAAAGTGAAGTTGCTCAGTCATGTCTGACTCTTCACGACACCGTGGACTGCAGCCTACCAGGCTCCTCCGTCCATGGGATTTTCCAGGCAAGAGTATTGGAGTGGGGTGCCATCGTCTTCTCTGACTAAGATGGTTCAATTCATGGCTGGGGAACTTGAAAGCCTTGCAAAAATGAAATGGACATAATTCTGGCAATTCTGCCTTTCCTTGTTGAATGATCGGTATGACAATGTTCATCTCCAAAGCACTTTTCTCTCTTTTTTTTAATTAATTAAAGTATTGCTGATTTGCAGTGCTGTGATTCAGAAGCACTTCAAGAGCTTGAATGGAGGAAACCAAAGACAAGATTCTCTTTGCAGAGAACAACTCTCATCCCTAGACTAGCCTTAAGCCTGGAGTACTGTGAACCCAAAGTCAGTAGTGTAGATTTTCCCCAGTTCTTGGGTGATAATCACAGGACAACTTCCATTGGAGCAGGAGCCGATGAACCAGCCAGGGAAGGCCACAGACTCAAAGCTGGAGGCCCTGCCTTTCTGGTCATGGTAGAAGAGAAAAGGCTTCACAGGCTCAGTTTGGTGGTACAGATCCATTATGTTCTGTTCCTAAAGGGCGAGAAGGAGGTCCCAGGGAGAAACATCACTGTTTGAGTTGTTCCACACTCTGCACACTAACAGTTCCTATTCAAGATTGTCTTCTCTGTTGAAACAGGCCTGGGCACCTCTATTTCATATTAAACCATTAAAAATTATCAGTCCCAAATACTTTAGAGATGTTAAGTTTAGGAGTGAAAACTTAGACCACTAATTTCAATGGTTCTTAATGTGAGCCTTTGAAGAAGAACAGTGTTGACATCAACGTTTTTGAGAATACAAAGCACAGATTTAGCCATTACCTGTTCCTTATAAACCCAAGGAATAGTTACATAACAGTTATCATGAATTTAAATAGAGTGGTTTCATATCAAGTGTCTCTAACCTCAGAACTATGGATGTTTTGGGCAGAATAATCTTTTGTTGTCAGGGTCTGTCTTATGTATGCTGAGAAGTTTAACAGCACCCCTGGCCTCTATCCAATAGAGATCAGCAGAATCCCCCAGTTGCTAGGTGTGGCAACTAAAAATATCACCAGACATTGAAAAATTTGTCAGGGGCAAAATTGCCCATCATTAAACCACTATTTTCCATCTTGTCATCAAATTGAGTGTCTGCCTGTGCTTGTTTGCTGAAGGCTTTTACATTTATTCCTGACTCCAGTAGGTGGTCTTCCCTGGCGGCTCAGCTGGCAAAGAATCTGCCCGCAATGGGGGAGACCTGGGTTCGGCCCCTGGGTTGGGAAGATCCCCTGGAGAAGGGAATAGCCACTGACTCCAGTATTCTGGCCAGGAGAATTGCATGGACTGTTTAGTCCATGGGGTTCCAAAGAGTCAGACATGACTGAGTGACTTTCACTTTCACTCTTCTTTCCAGTAGAATAAATATAGATAGAGAACTTACATGCATGCATGCTAAGTCCCTTCAGTTGTGTCCAGCTCTTTGCGACTCTATGAACTATAGACTGCCAGGCTCCTCTGTCCATGGGATTCTCCAAGCAAGAATATTGGAGTGGGTTGCCATGCCTGCCTTCCGGGGATCTTCCCTATCCAGGGATCAAACCTGCGTCTCTTACATCTTTTGCATTAGCAGGCAGGTTCTTTACTACTAGGGCCACCTGGGAAACCTATAGAATATATAGATCAAGGAATCAAGAGATTTCCTAAAGCACATAGAGGCCTGGTTTGTGATCCTCCTATAACTTAAAATATTTTTAAATAATGGAGAATAGCATTATTAAAATGTTCGTTATAGAGAATTGCTTGTTAACTTACAGTTGAAAACTATCTCCTGTCAAAAACATGTTTTAATTTGCTCACCCACCTAGTGGTAATCAACTGCTGAAAGTGTCAAAACTGATTCCACCCACACATGTGCAGTTGACCCTTCCTATCAACAGATTCTGCGTACTTGGAGTAAACCAACTGAGGACCAAAAATATTTGGAAAAAAACAAAAAAATCCAGAAAGTTCCAAAAAAGCAAAACTTGAATTTTCTTTGTGCTGGCAACTATTTATATAGTGTTCTCACTGTATTGCTGCTGCTGCTACTGCTACTGCTAAGTCACTTCAGTCGTGTCCGACTCTGTGTGACCCCATAGACTTCAGCCCGCCAGGCTCCCCCGTCCCTGGGATTCTCCGTCCCTGGAGTGGGTTGCCATTTCCTTCTCCAATGCATGAAAGTAAAAAGTGAAAGGGAAGTTGCTCAGTCGTGTCCGACTCTTAGCAACCCCATGGATTGTAGCCTACCAGGCTCCTCCATCCACAGGATCTTCCAGGCAAGAGTACTGGAGTGGGGGGGTGCCATTGCCTTCTCCATCTTACTGTATTAGGTATTATTAAGTAATCTAGAGCTGATTTAAAGGATAGGTTACATAATTATATAGGTCATATAGGAACTTGAGCATCTACTCTGGTATCCATGAGGGGTAGAGGAGTCCTGCACCAAATCCCCAAAGATGCCAAGGGATGACTGTGTGTGTATATGTGTGTGAGAGAGACAGAGAGACAGAGAGAGATTCATATATATATAGTCAAGAATAAATCTAAAAGCCTTCCTCTTTGCTGAATTACTTCTTAAGAAATACAAATGATTTTAGCAGATTAGTTTCAAAATACCCTTGCGATTTTTTCTTGTTTCATAATACATGCATCCTAAAAAGAACCAAAGATAAATATGCATAAGGATAACCAATAATTTGTCCTTTAAAAGATTCTAGAGGACTTCTCTGGTGGTCCAGTGGTTAGGAATGGGCCTGTCAATGCAGGGAACACAGGTTCGATCCCTGGTCTGGGAAGCTCCTACATGCCGCGGGGAAACTAAGCCTGTGTGCCACAACCATTGAGGCCCTCGTGCCCTGGAGCCCACGTTTTGCAACAAGAGAAGCCACCACTTCTCAGTGCACAGTGAGAAGCCTGTGCACCGCGGTTAGAGAATAGCCCCTGTCCTCAGCAACTAGAGAATGCTCATGCACAGCAAGGAAGAGCCGGCACAGCTAGGAAAAACATAAATTTAACAAAGATTCTAAAAAGTTAAATTTTCCATCAAATGAGCACTTAGTGAAATAAATGTACATCTTCCTCCTAAGTGCTAAGTGAAGTCGCTCAGTCGTGTCTGACTCTTTGCGACCCCATGGACTGTAGCCTACCAGGCTTCTCCATCCATGGGATTTTCCAGGCAAGAATACTGGAGTGGGTTGCCATTTCCTTCTCCAGGAGATCTTGCCAACCCAGGGATTGAACCTGGGTCTCCCACATTGTAGGCAGGCGCTTTACCATCTGAGCCACCAGGGAAGTCTTCCTCCTATGGGGGTAAATACTATGGCTCAGATGGTCAAAAATCTGGCCCCAATGCTGAAGACTGGGGTTCGATCCCTGGGTGGGGAAGATCCCCTGGAGTAGGAAATGGCAACCCACTCCAGTCCTCTTGCCTGGAGAACCCCATGGACAGAGGAACCTGGCAGGGCTACAGTCCATGTGGTGGCAAAATCGGACACAACTGAACAACTAACACTCACTTTTACTCCTAGTCAGGCATAGACAAGACCCTTATTTTCCATACTCACCTGAAGCTGCAGCACAGGCTGCCCCTTGACCTTTGTGCAGAATAGGCAAAGCTCTGGCTCCTTCAGTCCCAAGTAGACGGGATTCCCCCTGCCCTTCTCAAGAGTCTCTGTGTACTTGCATGAGATTAAGGTAACAGTGACTGGGAACACAACATAATCACAGATCACTCTCTCATTCATTACAACCTGTGAGATAAGCCCAGTTAACAAGTCTATTCACAGTGAAACGAAAAAGCTGAGCACATGACACACAGCAGCACTGGTCAAAGGAACTGCCTTGGACAGGCCTTGACCACTCACCTGGATCCATCTGGTCCTTCCTGGGGACAGCTGTGAGGGTCTGGCCTTGAAGGACCCATACCAGATGGTTGACATCCTGAATATCCACCAGAATTGGGTGTATCCTGGATAATACTGTAGAAAAAAATCAAAAGGCAAATGTGAACAAGAGGGTACCAAATATCCCCCCTTTCCAATATTTTTGTCCTTCCATGTACATCTTCACCTGGACCTTTCATTCTTTCATTCCTTTTGGATGATGGTGTTTCGGAACTGCCAAGGTGTGAAGACATTTATGTGCAGATGGATCCCACAAGAGGATCTAAGTCAGTCCCAATCCACGGTTTGACCTTGAGTCAGAAAAAGAGCTAATGAGCCAACAGCAACCCCAGGGAGAATCTACAGTCCCAGAATTCACCTTGCTCCCTCTCCTGTTCACCTTCTTGGACGTAGCCTACCTTCCAGCAGAAGCAGCGGTACCTGCATTCAGGCCTAAACCCAGAGCCTAAAGACGACAGGAGGGCCAAGGCCAGAGGTCTAGAAGCAGAGAAGATCAAAGGTCAGCAGGCTTTGCAGCTATGGAGGACGCTGTGTCCCTATGTCTATGGACTATGGCTTTTTCTGTGCTCAGGTGCTCTGACGGAGTCCAATAGGGCCCGAGCCTTTGATCCACATCAAGAAAGGAGGAGGTTCTGCCTCACTGGGGCTAGGACTTCCCAGCACCCTGAGTATTCGTCAGTTCCTGATACCAGGGGAATTTAGTGAGGCTTTATATAAAGAAATATCAACTAGGGCAGGGTTGCAACCTGTTCACGCACCGTGAAAAAGGAGGCATGCTAAGTTTTTAAGAGCAGTCACCAGGAAACATTGTCATCAACACTGAGTTTGAGGAAAGAAGTGTTATGGGACTGTCCCATGGCTGATGACTAAGCAATGATGCTGCAAAATGTTAACACTAATCTTATTCCAAAGAGTGGAAACCCATAGTGGGTTCAAGGTAGACTTAGAAAGGGAGTGGTCCCCTAAGGCCTGTGTAGTTTCCAACCACTCCTGGGTCTGGTCATCTTATCCCCTGCCAATCTTAGAGGAAAAAATACAAACACTCCAGTGTATGCTCCTCCAGCTTTTCAGAGCGAGTGTGAATGCTGCTTCTCCACTCAAGGAAAGCCTTGCCTAAACAAGGTCAGCTCCTGCACACCCTGCCCCTCATGGACTCTAGAGTAGTGGCTTCTAGATGCTCTATTTCCTGTGCTAGAAGACATGCATTAGCTCTTCCGCAAAGGGAAACAGGCAGTGCTGGTGAGACTGTTCCAACCTTTCAGCCCATCTGAGTTCACTGTCTGTAGTGGTTCCCAGCTCCTGTCTGCTCTACATCAAGGGCTTGCATCTCAGGGGCAACTTCAACCAGTTGGGGAGGGGATTGGTGAGTAAATGTCTCAGGTTCTTCAGCCTTTGATGGGATTGTGCTAACATTTCTCATGGGGTTCCTAACTACCTCATCAGCCTACCTCACCTCATAAAGACACCCTCAAGTTCACATCTTTACCCTCTCCAAAGATTCTTGCTTCTTGATCTTGTCCTGGGTAGCCCATGATAAGCTGGTGAGCTGTCCTCTTAAGAGTGTGGAGTCATGAAGCACTGACATTTAAATGTATAGCAAGTTTCTTTG